TGGGTGTTCAAAGGCTGTTATTCTAGGGGACTGCTAGCTCTAACAAGTTCAAACAACCTAGAAAATTTTAAGTATGAGCCTGTTGCTGGTCCTTGTGTCTCTTTTGTTCCCATATTAGCACAGAGAGGTTGGATGAGGTCGGTTGTCAGTGGACCAACCTAGGTAAGTTTAAAAAGGCTAGACGCAAGATGATGAAATTTTTGTGGCCACACATAACTCATGAAGACATTTACTAAGGCATAGAAAAATCATAATCTGCATGAGCTGAGGGAGTACCCTCCTCCCTGATGAAATCACAGGATTTGTTTGTTTTTTGAAGTACAAAAGTAAGTACAGTAAAACTTGACTTGGGGACAGGGTCAAGGTACCTACATGTAGGAGAGCAGGAAAAGTCACACAGAGTTTTCAGAATTGTCAGAGTACTGGTATTTAGCTTCTCTCCAAAAAAGTATAAATAGTGCAAATTACCTCAGAACCCACACTGCTATTTCACCAACAAGACACTTCATCTCTCAGCTATAGGCATTTTCTCTGGCTTTGAGTCCCAAGTAAAATCTCTTGTTTCTACAGGAAGCCTTTCCTGACCACTCTTAATTCTAGTGCCTTCCCTCTGTTAATTATTTCTTATTTGTCCTTTTTGTACATATTTATTAGCTTGCTGTTTGTTGTTTGGTTCATTAGATTATGAATTTCTAGAGGGCATGGGGCTGGTTTTTTTGCCCTTTTTTTGTATCCTCAGTGCTTAGCACATAAGAACTTAATATTTATTTACTGACCAATTAGGCAAATACTTAGTTACCCTCCACTCCAGAAAACATCCATACTTCAAAATATCTTCATATTCTATTTCTTTTTTTTTATTATTTTTAGACAATTGGGGTTAAGTGACTTGCCCAGGGTCACACAGCTAGTAAGTGTCAAGTGTTTGATCTGAGGCCAGATTTGAACTCGGGTCCTCCTGACTTCAGGGCCGGTGCTGTATCCACTGTGCCACCTAACTGCCCCTATATATTCTATTTCTACCCCAAGGGCAAACAGAAAAGAAGTCTACCTTTGTCTTTGGATCCTTCCCATCCTCCCCTATCAGCACTCTTTTCTGTCCTCTTTGTAAGAATAAAGCTATAATGGTGTAATGACAGACAGCAAGCGAGATTAATATTTGAGAGCAGGGAAACCTGTTTAATTGGTTCTTAAATCATACCATGTAGACATCTAGATAGATGAGAGAGAGAAGAGAAGAGAAGAGAAGAGAGAGGAGAGGAGAGGGGAGGAGAGGAGAGGAGAAGAGAAAAGAGAAGAGAAGAGAAGAGAAGAGAAGAGAAGAGAAGAGAAGAGGGAGGGAGGAAAGAAGGAAGGAAGGAAATGAAAGAGAGAGAATTTCTTTAGTGCTTGCTAAATTTCTTTAAGTGCTTACTGGATCAGGCACTGTTCTAAGCACTGGGGATACAAATAAAAGCAAGCATCACTCTCCAAGAGATAACAATGGATGACTGGGCAGTGGGAGAATTGGGGGGGGGGGCAGGGAGAAATGGGGAATGTGTGGTAGCATGCTGTGCAGATGTCTGGGCATTGGAGGTCTGGTTCCTGTCAAGATAAGGTGAAAACTCAGCCTCTCAGAGCTGAGCATACCAGGGGTGGAATTCAAGGCTCAAAGGGGTGGAGAGGGAATGAGATTGATGCCAGAATACAGGCAAAATGGTCCTCTGTAATCACCATATAATATTTTTACTTTGTGCCTATCTGTGCTGGAGTTGGAGTCCAAAGACCTTAGCAAGTCAAGGTTCTCAAGTTAAGGAGGGTTGAGTCCCAGTTCCTTCACTTCCCAAATGTGTGACCATAAGTAGGCCTCAGTTTTCTTCTCTAGAAAATGGGGATAAGATCACTTGCACTACTCACCTCACAGGGTTGTTGTGCGGAGAGTGTTTTCTTTGTTAACCTTAAAGCACTATCAATATGTGGTAGGATTGTTGTTGCTGCTGTTGTTTTTGGCAGGCAGCATAGCCTAGTGAGGGCAGCTGAGTGGCACAGTAGACAAAGCACTGGGCTTAGAATCAGAAAGACTTATCTTCATGAGTTCAAATCTGACCTCAGACACTTACTAGCTGTGTGACCCTGGTCAAGTCACTTAACCCTGTTTGCCTTGGTTCCTCATCTGGAAAATGATCTGGAGAAGGAAATGGAAAACCACTCCAGTATCTTTGCTAAGAAACCCCCAAATGGAGTCATGAAGAGTTGGACATAACTGAAATGGCTGAGCAACAACAACATAGCCTAGTGAATAGAACAGATATCCAGTTGTATTTACATACACACACACACACACACACACACACACACATCCATATACATATGGGGAGCATGGAATATTTTACCTGTCAGATTTATAGTTAAGGGAAGAATTTATGACTGACCAAGTGATAAGGAGCATTACAGGATATAATATGGATAATTTTGATTACATCAAATTTAAAAGTTTTTGCACAAACAAAACCAGTGCAGCCAAAATTAGAAAGAAAGCAGGAAACTGGGAATTTTAGTGGAAAAATCCTTCTTTTTCTCCAGCCACCTACACATAGTATGACTTTCACTAATTTCTGTCTGTATGAGTAACCTTTCCAGAATAGTCACAACCTAGCCTAGGTCTCCTCTAGGCCTCCATAACCTTATCCCAATTAAGTGAGATGGTTGGGACATAGTTTCTTCCAGTTTTAGCATCACATGTTCTAACACTATATTTATATTCTAAAGTCTCATTTCTAGTTCTGAAATTCTATGTTTATTTCTTCACCAGCAAATATACTGTATTTCATATTTAATGATTACATATACATATATAAAATAATAACAGTGTAGGTGGAAAGATGAAACTAGAAGGAGAGCAATGAAACTGTGACATAAGACAAATTTGGTGTCAGTGAAAACATCACATTTAGGCTTTAACATTTCAGTAACCTGTGAAGGGGAAGAAAGAAGTTAATTGGGAGGTGGAGGCAGGGGGGAGGGGTCTCTAAAAAAAAAAAAGGAAATAGAGTAATAGGCAGTGATCAGTAGAGCCAAATTTTTCCTTGAAGTCAAAGGACTGAAGACTTAAAGACTATCAGATTTGGTGATTATGAGGAAATTTATTGAGCTCTTAGTGAGCAGTTTCATTGGAGGCATGGGAGTAAAAACTATATTGCAAAAGGTTACAAAGAGACCGGGTGATGAGTAAGTGGATTTGTAGACACCTTTTTAAAAAAAATCTTAAGAAAATGAAGAGAGATAAAGGATAGTAGCTGAATGGAGCAGAAGAATCAAGGAAAAAATTTTTTTGTTTCTTTGTTTTTGTTTTGAATTAGAAAGACCTGGATGTATTTGTAAATATAATAGATGGAAAGAATCTGGTGATGGGGAAGAGACTCCTGTTTGGATTGCTTAATTGATTTTTCATTGGTTTTAAGTCTCACAAGACCCTGTAGTGCTCTGTGTCATGATGCAGTCAGCAAAATATCGTCTTATTAACAGGAACCTCTGAGGGACTTCACTGTCTCCATGGAATTCCTCTTTTATTTGCACTCTGTATAGTGGTGAACATCGTGGATGAGCATACGTCTCCGTGCTTTGCACTTTGCTTGCTATTTATAACAAAAGAATGGTAAACAAGTTTACCTTTGTGGTTCCATCAATCAAAGAATCTTGCATGATCTTACCAAGTATAAGAGGACACCTTGCTGGACTGGGCTTCCTCTCGAATCGAGTATTTTTTGGGTGGTGAACAAAAAGTAACATCTTGTATTCTGTATAGCTCTTAGTCATTTGTGTGACTCTGAAGGTGTGATCTGCTGTGGAAAATCATTCACAAAAAAACCCAAAACATCTTCCTGTTTTCTTTGGATATTTTCATAAAGATTTTATAGAGATGAGAAATCAAACATATGGGTCAATAGTTGTTAATCTTGTTTGTCTTTGTTGTATAATAAAGCTTCTGCATGTAGGAACTTGTTTTTGTCACCTGCACTGTAAAATACTTTGAAAACAGGGGCAGCTAGGTGGTACAGTGGATAGAGCTCTGGCCTGGATTCACGAAGACCTGAGTTCAAATCTGGCCTCAGACACTTGACACTTACTAGTTGTGTGACCTTGGGCAAGTCACTTCACCCCATTGCCTCACCAAAAAAAAAAAAAAAAATAGATCTCTGAGAGCATTTTAAATTGTTGCTTCCAGCTCAAATTTCTTCTCTTTCGTATTTAGTCAGGTCCAGCCACTCTTCCTGAGTTAATTTTCTTTTGTGCCATTTTCACTTCCATTCCCTGAGTCATCCCCAAGTTTCTGCCAACCCCTAAACAAAATACATAATAGCTCTGGGTCATTTTCTTAGGACATTAAAGGAGAACCTGCTCATCCCAAATCAATTTGATCCTAACTTTAAGAAAGGGAATTGCTACTCCCTATATGTGTGTGGGTATGGGGAAAGGGGTGGGGAGAGTAATACATCTACTCCAAAGTTGGCTGAGTGTTTGTTGAATGAATGACCAAATATTGTATGGGCATGTGTGTGAAAGGTTTGAAATTCCTTGTACCATCTCCAAAAGTCTCATGATGGAAAATGCTATCCACATCCAGAAAAAGAGCTGTGGAGTTTGAATGCAGATCGAAGCGTACTATTTGCTATTTTTTTCTTCTGTTTTGTTTTGTTTCTTCTTTCTTGTGGTTCCTCCCATTGGTTCTAATTCTTCTTTACAACATGACTAATGTGAAAATATGTTTAATAGGAATATATAGAGAGAGTTTATATCAGATTGTACACCATTCTGGGCAGGGAGGTGGGGAAGGAGAGGAGAAAATTTAAAACTCAAAAGCTTATGGAAGTGGTTGTTGAAAACTAAAAAAAATTAATTAATTTTAAAAAATAAAATAAAAAAGAAATTCCTTGTATCTAACAGTTGGAAATCAAAGTGAACCAACTTTATATAATCTGTCGCTTGTCAAGGCTGGAGGATGAAACTTTTCTCTCTTTCAGGATGATGTTATCACTGTAATTAGCAGAGTTGATGAGAATTGGGCGGAAGGCAAATTAGGTGATAAAGTTGGCATCTTCCCCATCTTGTTTGTAGAGGTAAGTGACGTAGAAGCCAAATCTAAGTTAAGCCCGTGGAACTGCTAAATAATTGACATCGGGCCCCATGTTTACTCTTTCCAACAGCAGAGATGCCAAAATGAGACCTCTGTTTAGTTTTGGCCTATTTTAGATTGAGAGCTAGAGGTAAGGAAGATAGACCATTCAACAAATCATTCCCCAATTGATAAATGGTCAAAGGATATAAATAAGCAGTTTTTAGATGAAGAAATTAAAGCTGTCTATAGTCATATAGAAAAGGCTCTAAATCACTATTGATTAGAGGAATGTAAATTAAAACAACTCTGAGGTACCATATCACACCTATCAGATTGGCTAACATGACAAAACAAGAAAATGATAAATGTTGGAGAAGATGTGGGAAAATTGGAACACTAATGCGTTGCTGGTGGAGTTGTGAACTGATCCAACCATTCTGGAGAGCAATTTGGAATTATGCCCAAACAGCTATAAAACCATGCATACCCTTTGATCTGGCAATACTGCTGCTTGGTCTGTATCACAAAGAGATCATAAAAAAAGGGAAAAGACCCACATGTACAAAAGTATTTATAGCAGCTCTTTTTGTGGTAGCAAAGAATTGGAAATTGAGAGGATGCTCATCAATTAGGGAACGGCTGAACAAGTTGTGGTATATGAATGTAATGGAATACTATTGTTCCATAAGAAATGATAAGCAGGGGGATTTCAGAAAAACCTGGAAAGACTTACATGAACTGACGCTGAGTGAAGTGAACAGAATCAGAAGAACGCTATACACAGTAGCAGCAACATGGTACAATGACCAACTTTGATAGACTTAGCTTTTCTGGAAAATGCTATCCACCTCTAGAGAAAGAACTATAGAGTCTGAATACAGTTCAAAGCATACCATTTCCTCTTTTTTTTTCTTTCTTGTGTTTTTTTCCTTTTGTCTGATTCTTCTTTCACAACATGACTAATGTGGAAATAGGTTTAATATAATTGTACATGTATAACCTGTATCAGATTACATGCTGTCTTAGGGAGGGGGGAGGAGAGGGAGGGGGAAAATTTAGAACTCAAAATCTTATAAAATTGAATGTTGAAAACTAAAAATAAATAAAAAATTTTTAAGAGAAAGAAAATAGATCATTTATTCATTCAGCACCAATTTATTAAGAATGCACTATGTACAAAATGAGACGCAGCATGGTATGATGAATAGAGAGCCAGCCTTGAAGTCAAGAAGCCCTGAGTTCAAGATACTGCCTCTGATACTGGCTGTGTGACCCTGAGCAACACATTTAACATTTAACCTCTCAATATAAATTCTCTAAGCCTGTAAGTTGTAGAGAAGGTGCCAACCTGCTTTAGTAGACAGAGATTCCTTACCTGGCAATTCTCTGTGTAAATGAAATCACCAATCCAGTCCCTAACCCCCTATACAAAGCAGGATACCACTGAGGGAGATACAAAGACTATTAAGACATTGTCTTTGTGTTCAAGAAGCTTGCAATCTAATCAATACCAGGATAATTATCTATTGTTCAATTATTGTATTACCTGTTTACCATCCATGTTTCTGTAACCCCAACATGGTTGGAGGGATTCATTCCAGAATCAAAATGCAAAGTTACCTAGATGGCACAGTCAATAGAGTACTGGATCTGGAGTCAAGAAGACTTGAGTTCAAATCTAGACACAATCTCAGACATTTATTAGCTATGTTACCCTGGTCAAGTTACTTTAATTTCTCTGAGCCTCAGTTTCCTCGTCTGTAAAATGGTATAATTATAACACCTAACTTTCTGGGTTGTGAGGATAAAATGAGATAATATTTGTAAAGTGCTATGCAGATTTAAACCACTATATGAATGCTAGCTAGCTATTAGTAGTAGTAATAATAAAGAGAATTTAGTCATGTCACTGGTAAACTACAAAAGTAGCTTTTAAGTTAGAGGGTATGATCCTTGCCCTCAAAAATTTTTCCCTACAGAAAAGACAAAATAAAGACAATTGAGAACACTGAAGGGGAGATGGAGCCATAAAAGTGTAATGAAATACAGATCATATAAATACATAAGTAGTTTCAACTGTGTAAGAGCAGTGAAGTGGCACAGTGGACAGGGTGTCAGACTTGGAGTCAGGAAGATCTGAGTTCAAATCTGGCCTCAGACACTTCCTAACTGTGTGACCCTGGGCAAGTCACTTACCCCTGTTTGCCTCAGTTTCCTCATCTGTAAAATAAGCTGGAGAAGGAAATGGCAAACCACTCCAGTATCTTTGCCAAGAAAACCCCAAATAGGGTCATGAAGAGTAAGATGTGACTGAAAATAACTAAATGACGACAACTGTATACAGAACTAAAAGGTTTTTCTGGAAAGATTAGAATGACCAGTGTCAGAGGGAATTACTCTGGGAAGGTTCTTTGTCTAACTTTGAAGGCAGTCTGTGATCTGATCCCATCCTACCTATCTAACCCAGTTTCTCACTATTCCCCAACATGAAGCCCTTGTTCCAATAAGGGCAGTCCCTTCATTGTATCACCCCCTTCCCACTTACCAACTCATTTCCACATATTCCTAATGCCACCCTTTGTGCCTGTATCCATAGTGCTCCCTCCTTATGGAATGTCTTCTCCCCCTCTTTCCCACCTATTCAAGTCCTATCCCTCCTTCAAAGTACTACCCATCCCATGAAGTTTTCTCTAACAACTCTGACCTCCAATGGTCTCTTCCTTCTCTGAACTCTCATTCCACATTGTCTGTATCCTCAGTTTTGCACTAAATTATGTACTGTCTGGGATTATCTAATTTTTTTTCTAGTGTCCAAATCTCCAAAGAGACTATAAAGTCTGTGAGGGTGTCATATTTTTTTTCCCATAGTTCCTAGCATAGTCCTAGGTATACCATATATGCTGAGTAAGTATTGATTGATGGTTGATAGATTGAACTTATTATAGGGATCACTTTTCACATGTTCCCTTTAGAATTTGAGGGATGACTTGGGGTATTGTAGAATCCGAGCTGGGGATGACTTCGGAGGTCACCTCTACTTCAGCTCTGACTAAAACAACCCTCCCCTTTGCGACATATCCAAGGAGGTATCTGGTCCTTCAGGCTCAGCTTGAAGAACTTCCAGTGATAGGGAGCTCAAGACACCACAGTCCATGGTCACCTGTTCTTTTGGATAGCTCAGATTGTTAAGAAGGTTTCTTTACATTAAGCAAAAATCTGCCTCTGAAATTTTCCCCATTGGTCCTAGCTTTATGCTGTGAAACCAAGCAAAACAAGTCTTACTCCTCTTCCACATTCCTTCAAATACTAAGGACAGCTGTAAGGTCCCTATTAAGTCTTATTTTCTTCAGGCTTAACATCCCCAATTACTTCAACTAATTATCATGTACCCTGGTTTCTTGTCTCCAGCCTTTACTTCACTCATCACTGGACTCTTTGAACTGTATTTCTTCTCACTAACCTCTTCCTCCTTTCAGCTCTCCTGTATAACACACAGTGAGTACCTACTAAGTGCTTATTGATTGATTGACCTATTTATTGTCTTCCCCCACTAGATTAAAACTCCTTGAGGGTGGGGGTTATCTTGCTTATTTATATATTGTATCTCTAGTGCTTGATGCATAGTAAATACTTAATAAATGATTATTTCTTCTATAGTATTCCCCCTTCTATAATTCTAGTACTTCTCCTTTTTTTTGAAAGAGAGCAAATATTTAAGTAATATTTTATTTTATTTCAAATTACATATAAAAACAATTTTAACTTTCTTTTTCTTTAAGTTTTGAGTTCCAAATTCTGTCTTTCCCTTCCTCCTCTGTCCCCTCCCTGAGAAAATAAGCATCTGATATAGGTTATATATGTGCAGTCGTGTAAAACACATTCTATATTAGTCATTTTGTGGAAGAAAACTCAAACTAAAAAAAGAAAGATAGTGAAAAATAGTATGCCTCAGTCTGTATTCAGACACCATCACTTCTTTCTCTGGAGGCAGTAGTAACTTGTTTAAAAGAGAATTTTAGACATAGCTTGTTCTTGGTCAACCAATGCTGACTCTTCACTGTTTCCTTTTCTAAATGTTTACAATCCACCCTTTGAATAACTTCTTGATTACTTTATATAGAGACTTTCCCCATGCCTTCCAAATGAAGAACATCATAGAGCTAATCAACAATCTTTGATATCTTGTCATTGGAAAGGTTTACATTTTATAATCATTTTTATATTCTCCTTCTCCCCTCCAAAATCAGTAATTAGAAGAACACTCAAGGAAATAATCAAACTAGTCGTATCTCTATTTGGTCTTATAATTAGCAGAAATATCTGTGTGTTACTGAGTGGTTGCTATGTTCTAAGATTCAGATTTTTTTTAAATACTTGAAATCTAAACAGAGTAAAATAGTTCTTACATTCGACTCCTGTCATTACCTATTTAAGGCTAGAACTTGCTGCAGATTCTTCAAATAAACTTTGAATTATCCATATCATTAAAAACAGTTGGAAGGAAACATTGATTTCTTATGAAGAACCTTTTGGCAAAAGCCAGAGTTTTTTTTAATGCATCATTTTCTTTCTTGGATAGTACCTGAACAGAGAAGGGGAAATGCCAAATCTGGAACCTAAGTGTTATCTTGTTAGGACATCATCTCCAATAGATTCTGTGTTATACTCTTAGTCAAGGACAGTTCTAATTTTTGTCTTTGTATTTCAGCACATAATGGGCAATTAATAAATGCTTGTCAAATTTAATTTATTACTCTTACTGAGTTCAATGAACCTAAAAGATTTTTTTTCAGATGAGTAGTTAAATACCTAAGAGCTCTACAATTCTCCCCGCTGATATAATTATTCCCTTTGGATGACAAAATAGACAAAGCCCAGAGTTTTGTGCTATTCTGCCCCCTTAAAGGATAATGGTAGGCCCCGAGTAGGAACAGGACTTTTAAGTCTATGAGGAAGGAATTGATTTCTCCAGTTGTCATCTTACCTCAGATGGCAGTGAACTTGATTGATTCAATTCGAGTATGATGAAATGGCTGACTGGTATCTAGAACTGGGTTAGAGGACTTGGTCATCCCCTCAAAGTACTTAGAATCTAACCTGGGAGACAAGACTCATAACTATTTTACCATTTATTATTTACCAATCAACACACTGTATGATTAAGTGCCCAAATGATTGACATAGAAAGGAAGTATTACAGTCTTTTCTGAGAAAAGGGGAAAAAAACTTTGAGTTTTAGTAGAGACAGTTTCATAGAAGTGATTTCATACTTAAATTGGTTCTTGAAGGATGGGTAGATTAGGGATAAGCTGAGAAAAGGCAGTGTTCCAGGGAGGGGAAACAACAGAATTCAAAAGAGAGGATTCAAGAAAATGAATTTTAACCGTCACCTAAAAAGAGGCCAATATATTCCCATGAATGGTCAAGGTCAAGAGACAGAGTAACAATTACAATAGATATTTATTAAGTACCTGTTATGTGTGAAGGAACTGTGCTTGAGTCAGATAACACTTGGTCCCTCACCTCATATAGCTTACAGTCTAACAACAAGGAAATATCACCTGTTTGAGAACATTTTTATGGTGCCACATCAGTGAGGGAAGCCACTCGGACAAATTGGCAAATTGATAATTTTATTTTCATGATCACATTTACCTCTGTTTCTGTGAAGTGTTTGGTTATATAGGAACTCTTTTGAAAGGAATTGCACCATTGTTCTGTGGTCTGTAGGATTGTCAGTAATGTCTATACTGAAGAAGAGGAAGAATTTTAGCAATGGCATGCCCTTAGAAATTCTGCCCAAGAGTGGGAAAATGGGAATTGATTCAGCCTGCTATTTGAAAGTTGCCAAACCCTAACTCCATCTCTGCAAGAATTAATATCGTAGTTTCCTGTATTTAGAGTTAGAAGAGAATGTAGAGGTCATCTGTCAAACCTCACCGCCTTAAGTTACAGATGAGGAAACTGAAGCTTTTAGAGGTAAAGTGAATTGCCCAAAATGACAGAGTCAGGATTTGAACTCAGATACCAAGTCTCCAAGTTCAGTTCTCTAAATTCAGCATTGTCTCTGCTGTACTAAGCTGCTTAGTTCCAGGATCAAATGCACAGATTTGCTATACTCATCTAGATAGAGCCTAAATATTTAGTATAAACACTGTTGGTACAATAGTAAGGAATGGAATCTCAGGAATTTATTTCACTGGAGTAAAAGGAACCAATTTATAAAATTCAAAAATTATCCTTGAGTTCAAATAGTTTTACATTGACTTGGAGGGAATTATTTATAAAGACTAGCCCAGTAAATCTTAAGGTCTTACATTTAAGCCTAAGATGACAGAACCCCAATTTTCATTGGATCCTTTGTATTTCAGCCAAACCTCACTGCAAGACATCTGCTAGAGAAGGGCAGAAACCATCGGTCATCCCACATAAAGAGCATGTCCCTGAGATGCTCTTCTCCTAGAAGCAAAGTGGCAGAATCACCAGCCTTCAGTCGGGTCATAGAATCCAGGAGGAAGAATCCAAGACAATTCTCCATCATGACAGCCTTGAATACCCTCAACAGAATGGTCCATTCACCCACAGGGCAACAGATGGTGGAAATAAGCTCCCCTGTGCTCATCAGCTCCAGCAATCCTTCTGTGGCAGCTCAGAATTTTGAGAAGGTAGAGCTCCCACCTAACAGCCCTGTCCAGGTAAGAAAACACATTTGACATTTTAAACTAGGGGCAGAGTTGGACTTTAGGAAATGATTTATACAATGTCATGTTTGTTTCTTGTTTAATATAGTGGTTCCCAACCTGTTCAAGCATGAGGGCTCCTTTTTAATGATGAAAAATATCTGTAGACTACCCCATTTTAGTAGTCATACTATTGGTATCCATTGATTGACCAAATGGATCATGACAAAAAGCTACCTTAAATTCAGTAATGCTTTTCTTTAATTTTTTTTTAACCTGAGCACCAAAAAAGGTTATTTCTATACACACAGTTTATGAACTCATGAGTTTCCATTTCATACTGCTTCCTTTTTTAAAGCATAAAATAAATTCTTTGTGCTATGCTCAAAACTATTTTCCTTGTCTTCCTTCTGAATTTCCTTCTATTCTTTTCTGTGCATTTTTTTAAATGTTTCGATGGCCTTTTTTTTTTTTTTTTTTTTTTTGGCATCACTCTTGGTAATCCCATGTTCTCCTACAGAGAAAGAAAGAAAAATGCCCTTGTAACAAATAAGCATAATCAAGCAAAATGTTACTATCCTTTTTTATATTGTTCTGCTCATTTCTGTCTGTATCAGTTTATACTACTCAGGATTCTCTGAAATTGTCTCATAATTTTTTACAGTGAAATAATATTCTATTACATTAAAATGCCACAATTTGTTCATCCATTTTCCAGTTGTCTAAGAAGCAGCCTAAAACACCCCCTTAGATCCTAGTTATTTTTTTCCTCCCTTTTAATCCATGCTTCAGGATCAAGAAGCTTATTTTGACTATGATTATTCTCTCCATGATATTCTCTTCCCTCTTAACTTCTACCCTCCCCAATAATCACTTATTTCCCTGTTTAATTTCATGAATTTCTATACCAAAATCTTTGTGTGTGTGTTCAACCTTTATTTGTTCATTTTAGATAAGAGATTCATCTGATGAACATTCCCTTCACCTTTTCCTCTATGTTTATATATTCTTCTCATGTAATCCAGTAATGAGAAATAGCAAGTTTTACCCCCTTCTTCCTCCTTTCTATGTTAGTGTATTCCTTATATCTTCCCTTATCTTTCTCCTCTTAAAATCCTTAGAACATAACCAATACATGTTCAGGTCCTCTGTTTTTCTTATTTAACTGCCTCAATTCCCTCTGAAGATATAAGGTCCTAAAAGGACTCTTGTTTCTTTTCCCTCTATTAGAGTGTTGGCACACTAGACAGCTCTATCCAGTTGCTGAAATAAATTTATCTTTCTCAATTCCTCTGGACTTTTGTGTTTGTATTACACAGTTCCTACTCAGGTCTGGTGTTTTTATCAGAAATCCTTCAAAGTCTTCTGTTCTACTAAGGGTCCATTTTTTTCCCCTGTAGAATTATAATAGGCTTTGCAAGGTAAAATATTCTTGGTTGTAAATATTTATCTTTTATCTTTTAGAATATTATATTTCATGATCTCTTCTCATTTATAGTTGAAAGTGCTATGTCTTGTGTGATCCTGACTGTGATCCTTTAGTATTTGAGCTGCTCCTTTCTGAGTATTTGTAATATTTTTTCTCTGATGTGAGAGTTCTAGATTTTGTTTATTACATATCTGGGAAATTTTCATTTATCATTTCTTGATATATATGGTACAGGCTTTTATTAATCATGATTCTCAGGGATTCCTGTGATTCTTAAAGTATCTCTCCTTGATTTGTTTTCCAGGTCAGTTTTTCATATCAAATAGCTTATATTTTCTTCTATTTTTTAATATCTTGATGTTGTTCTAATAGTTCTTGCTGTCTCTTGGGGTCATTGATTTCTCTTTTGTGTATTCTAGTTTTCAAGGAGTCCTTTACTTGGGTTTGGTTCACAACTTTCTCTTCTAAACTATTTATTCATCTTCCAATTCTTTTCTCTAGAGCTATTGTTTCTTTTTTTTTTTAATCTCTTGTTTCATTTCTTCTATGAATCCATGCACCCTTGTGGAAAGTTCATTTTTTTCCCTTTGACCCTCTACCTGCATTTGTTATAGATGTACTTTCTCCTTCAGGAAGATCTTGAGATTTGCACTAATTTTTTATACTAGTTAGTGTTTTCTTTTGTTGTCTCTCTACCTTTAGTTCCTGAATTAGGACTTTATGCCAGGGCCAGGCTCTTACCCCTGCAACAGTTTTGAGTGGAATGGTCAGTCTGGAAAGCCCTGTGTCACCTAGGTTCTTGTGTTGACCATCTCCTACTGTTAACTCCTATCAACTCCAACCCCTACATCTTTGAGGTTCAAAGTGCTAGATTATCAGGGATCTTCCTAGTATCTCTGAACAGAGTGCTCAGGACCTCAGAGTTCCTGGACCTAGAGTGTCCCAATCTGAGAACTACCAAAAAACATCCTTGTCGCTTTTGCATTATTCCCCTACACTTCCAAAGTCCTCTTTCTGGTCCCTTCTGACCATTTGGAGGCTTTCTCAGGTGAGCGTTTGACTCTTACTATCTCCAGACACAGCGCCTTGCGTACAACATGGGACTTTGGTCATGCTGGTGCTGACCTTTCTGGAAGAGCTCCCTTACCAATCACACTTGAGCTTTTGTGCAGGTCTGGGGTGGAAGCAATCATTTACTGTCATTTCTCATTGGATTTCTTGATCATTATTCCATCTAATACAAACTTGAGGGTTTTACTGGAGTAGGTATGTGGCAACTGGGCATTCTGTCTCCCATTCAGGCATCCATCTTGCTTTTCAATCAGTTTGTATGTTTTTAATCATAACAGCATCCACTAGTTTTTAAAAAACAATAATAAATATGTGTGAGACATTATTCCATCTTCAAAATGACAATGCTTGGTGCATGTAGAATGTAAAGGCCTTTTGTAACAGCTCTTTAGTTCCCCAAAGGCTCATGGTCTACAGATTGGGAACATTTGATTTAATATTCATATTTCATTTCTTTAAAAGATCTATAATTTGAGTGTAGATAATTGTCTCTACTGTTGCAGAATATGGCCACTGTTCTTTGCCTTAGTAGACAGGCTTATGAACTGCTACAGCCAAAAAAAAAAATTCCCACTTGTGATGAGCTTCCAGTGATAAACCTACCCTCAGTTAGCTAGGCTGCTCTGATGACAGACTTTTACAGGCTTTCCAGCTTGGTTAGGGGCCTTCCAGAATTTGTCCTGTGCTGGCCTACAAGCCAAGGTCATCGCCAAGTCAGAGTGTCCCATCTGACTATAGCCAGAAGATACCTAAGAGATCATCCTGTTCAAATCACAGCCACACAAGAGCTCGCTCACCGCCTAGATCTACACAAATGAAATATTTAGGCAGCTAAGTGGCATAGTGGATAAAGTGCTAGGCTTGGAATCAGGAAGACCCGAATTCAAGTGCTACCTTAGGTACTTAATAGATGTGTGACTCTAGACCAATTATTTCACCTCTCTCAGACTCAGTTTAATCATCTATAAAATGGGGATGATAATAGTACCTACCTCATAGAGTTCTTGTGAGGACCAAATAAGATAACATGTGTAAAGGACTTTGCAGAACTTAAAGCATTATATAAATGCTAGCGAGTATTTATATTAATTATAATGACAAGCAAGTCCACGTACAGTAGAGTACTAAAATACTATAATGAATGGTCGTATTTTAGGAAAAGGACAGATGAATGTGGACTGGAGTTTTCAGAGAAGGCATCATTCATGAAGAAGGTGGAGCTTAAGATGGCTTCTGTACGATTTAGATAGAGAGAAACATATATAATTGGCATTTTTTATCTTAGTTTTGCTTTTCTCATATGGCATAGTATGGATCTCACAGGGAAGGAAGAATGCAAGCTAGAAAGGGGTTTGAAAGAGAGAAACTACAGCCCACTGAGGTAGTCAGTAAAAAGTTCCAACAAAGGTGAGATTGAAGGGAAGGGTCTTAAATGAAGTAACATGTAATAGCCCATATTTGTAATGTATAATGCATTCCAGTCACAAAGCACATTTCAGAGCCATGGAAGGAGCACATGGAAGGAGATAGAGGGCCTGGGTTCAAATCTCAGCTCTTCCACATGAGATCTTGGGCAAACTCCTTCAATTTTCTGAGCCTCAGTTTCCTCATCTGTAAAATGAGGGAGTTAGACCAAATGACCTGAAAGGTCTTTGACAATTCTAAATCTGTTATCCTGTACTCTTTAAAATGATAAACCTGGAATAAATGACTTCTAAGATCACTTCAGCTCCAGAACTCTGTGTGTGTGTGTGTGTGTGTGTGTGTGTGTGTGTGATTTAATTATCCAGACACCTCTGAGCTAATCAGGACAAATATTATTACTACCATTTTACGAAGCAGGAAACTCGTTATTCTGAGTGTAGCATTCAATCCACTAGCCTATCCTAGAGGAGGGATTCTTAACCTTAAATCCACAGGCCTTCAGGGAGTCCATGAATTTGGATGGAAAAAATTTTATAACTTTATTTTCACTGTTCTCTAATTAATATTTAGCATTTTCTTCATTATGACTTTTTTTAAAAAATCTGAGAAGGGGTCCATAATCCCCAAAAGGTTAGTAACCCCTGGTCTAGAAAGAGATAAGATTGGTGGGAGACTACCTTAGGAATACAGAACAGTGTGCCAGAAACTTGGCATGGGAGAACAGCACAATGCTGGTTGGCCTAAGCTGCAAAAGAGAGCGTGTAGGAGAACAGGGGATATGAACAAGTAGGCAGAAAGTATAATGTAGGCAGAGCCAAAAACACAATCCCTATTCAAAGACTTATTATGAAAAGGTCTGAGTGATTACAACTCAGTTTAATACAGGGCTGCCTAAAAGGTTAAAAACCAGAGGGGGCAGTAAGGCAGCCTGGGAGCTGAAATCTTTCTTATAGCAGATGCTTATTTAGGTTGAAAGGCAGTTTTGGAAAATGAAAGAGTAGATTGATGAGACCAAGTAATTAAGAAGTGAATTGCATGCTGGGAATTCTATTGCAAACACTCTTTTTAGCTGTGCAGGTAACAACCTGAA